GTCAGATTCTTTCCTTCATTAGCTTCTTCTTAAAGAAGACCCTTCAACATTTCATGTAATACTGGTTTGGTGGTGATGAACTCCTTTAGCTTTTTCTTATCTACGAAGCTCTTTATTTGACCTTCAGTTCTAAACGATAGCTTTGCTGGGCAGAGTAATCTTGGTTGTAGGTTCTTGCTTTTCATCACTTTGAATATTTCTTGCCACTCCCTTCTGGCCTGAAAAGTTTCTGTTGAGAAATCAGCTGACAGTCGTATGAGTGCTCCCTTGTAGGTAACTAATTGCTTTTCTCTTGCTGTTTTTAAGATTCTCTCTTTGTCTTTAACTTTTGGCATTTTAATTGTGATCTGTCTTGGTGTGGGCCTCTTTGGGTTCCTCTTGTTTGGGACTCTTTGTGCTTCCTGGACTTGTAAGTTGATTTCTTTCCCCAGGTAGGGGAAGTTTTCTGTCATCATTTTTCCAACTAGGTTTTCAATTTCTTGGTCTCTTTCTTCTCCTTCTGGCACACCCATAATGTGAATATTGGGCCACTTGAAGTTGTCCCAGAGACTCCGTACACTATTTTCATATTTCTGGATTCTTTTTTCTTTTTGCTCTTCTGATTGTTTTTTTGCTTCTTCATATTCCAAATTGCTGATTTGATTCTCAGCGCCCTGTACTCTACTGTTGATTCCCTCTAAATTATTATTCATTTCAGTTCATGTAGCCTTCATTTCTGACTGGTACTTCATTGTGTCATTAATGATCTCACCAATTTCCTTAATAGTCTTACTAAGATCCTTGAGCAACCCTATGACTATTGTTTTGAACTCTATATCTAGTAGCTTGCTTGGCTCCATTTCATTTACTTCTTTTTCTGGAGGTTTCTTCTGTTCTTTGTTTTGTGACATGTTTCTTTGCCTCCTCATTTTGGCTGCTTCCTGGTGTTTGTTTCTATATATTAGGTAGAGCTGCTATGTCTCCTGGAATTTTTAGAGTGGATTTGTGTAGTAGGTGTCCTATAGGGCCCAGTGGCTCAGTCTCCCTAGTCACCTGAGCTGAGTCTTTTAGGTGCTCCCCGGTGTGGGCTGTGTGTACTGTCCTGCTGTAGTTGAGCCTTGGTTGCTATTGGCGTCACTGGGAGGAATCAGCCCCCAGGCCAATCGGCTGTGAGGACCAGCTGCAGCTACAATCAAAGAGTTGCTGTGCTGGAGACACCCCTATGGAGCAGGATTTACTTCAGTGGAGCTTTGGTGTTCCCCAAGTGTGCCCCTTGAGTGTGTCACTCGTGGATGTGGTAGGGTTGTAATCCAGCATAGTTGAAGCTGACTACCGGATGCACTGTCTCTGGGGCCTCCCAGGAGGTACAAAGTCAGCCTCTGCCAGTGCCTTGCCCAGGGCCACCCAGCATGAGCTACACAGCAATCCGTAGCTGGCTGCTACTTGTGCTGGGCTTGGAGGTATCCAGGAGAGGCCAAGCTATGAACCAATGCAGGCTGCCACTAGTGCCAGGCCTGGGGCCACTTATCGAGAGGTATGGGGCGCACTGAGGCCAGCTGCTGCTTGTTTGAGAGATTTTATGAAAGTCCTAAGCATGAGGCTAGAAAGGCCACTTGCATAGAAAAGCCACTGGAAATGGTGTGGATGAGCTTGCTAGTAGGGAGGGCGGGGTCTCTGGGAATCACCAGGGTGGGGTGAAAGGTGTGATTCAGGTTGATGGAGATTCAGAAAAGGTGCCTGCCTGCTGGCTCTGTGGGGGGAGGGCTCGTCAAAGGAGCAATGGCCTCTGCCAGCTCTTCTGTCTGTGAGAAAGCTGCCCCTCCTCCAGCTCTTTCCCTGATTCCAGGCAAGTTATTTCCTCCCTGAATGTCCCAGGTTTCTTTCAAGCTGCTGCCCAGTGCTGGAGCTCAAAGGGAGTGTATCTGAGTAAGTCTGTGCGCCAGCCCTTTAAGAGGAACTGCCTGGAACTCCAGCAGCCTCCGCACACTTAGCTACAATCCCCGCTGGTTTTTACATCCCAAAGGTGTGGGGACTTCTCTTCCTGTCACTGGAACCCTGGGCTAGGGGGCCTCATGTTGGGGTGGGACCCCATGTTCCTCCAGGAAACCTCCATTGCCAAGATATCCCTCCCGATTTTATTTATTTTATTTTTTAAAAAAATATATCTTTATTGATTTCAGAGAGAGGAAGGGAGAGGGGGAGAGATAGAAACATCAATGATGAGAGAGTCATTGATCAGCTGCCTCCCAAACGCCCCCCACTGGGGATCGAGTCGGCAACCTGGGCATGTGCCCCTACCGGGAATCCAACCACTATCTCCTGGATCCTAGGTGAAATGCTGATCCCTGAGCCATGCCCGGCCGGGCTCCCTCCCGATTTTTAACCGTGGCACCTGGGTGTGGCCATCTCTGTGATTCAGCCAAGATTCTGCCCCGGGTCTCCACCCTTCCTACCAATCTCAATGTGCTTCTTCAGTTCCCTAGTTGTAGGACTTCTATTCAGCTAGATTTCAGGAGGTTCTGAATGATGGCTGTTATGTATTTTAGTTGTAATTTTGATGTGGTTGTGGGAGGTGACGGGTACTGCTGTTACCTACAACGCCATCTTGTTGTTCATCTATTTATTATTTTCACAATATTTTACAATTAGATAATGAGGCAGAAAGGGACCTTAGAAATCCAGTTTTTCCTGAGTGTTTTCCTTGATATACCTGACAAAAAAGTCACTCAGCCTCTCCATGTGCACCGTCAGTCATGTAGCACTCACAACCCCACAAAGCAGCCTGCTCATATTTGGGTAGTTTTTACTGTTGGAAAATTTAACTTTATATTGTGATAGATAAGATAAGGAGATATTTGTGCTCCTTAATGTCACCTTGAACTAGGAAAGATCTTTACCTTCCCACATATGCCTATACCTGGGGTGACCCATGTCATCTGATGATTAATTTCACACAACCATCTAAGAAAGAATCAAATCCTATTGTTGTAACCCTGTCAACCTCCCTCTATCCCCAACACACATATACACATATATGTCAGGGTCTCAAAGTACTTACGGAAGTCTTTTCTCACATCTAAGCCAAGTGTTGTTTTCTAAATAAAAAGCTTTTTTTTTTTTTTTTTTTTGGTTTAAGAATACTGAATGGATGAATTTGTAGATTTAATTTGGAGGTAGGGTGAACAGGACTTGCTAATCATTTAGATGTAGGGGTTGAAGGAAGGTTTGGAGGAGGGATTCAGTATAAAGCCTCATCTTGGAATTTGTCCAACTCAGTGCTTGGAGTTACTATTTATTGCAATAGAAAAGATAGGGAGAGGGACAGATTTCTGGGGAGAACCATCAAGACCATTGTTTTAGATGTAATAAGTTTGAGGTGCTGGTTAAACATCTGAAATCCAAGATAAATCACTTAGGTAGCTGTACAGGACTCTGGCTGGTTCAGGGGAGAGGTTTGGGTCAGGAATGTAAATTTGGGCATCATTACCTGATGGATATTTGAAAAGACCTAGGGGGGAGTATAGAGATGGAGAAGAGAATATTGTCCAGAATTGAAGTCTGAGGCATCCAGCATGTATAGGGTTCAGGGAGGAGATGAGGAGGGGAAGAACCAGGAGAGCCCTGTAACAAGAAGCCAGGAAAAGTGAGTATTTCAAGGAGGGAGAATTAAACTGTAGATGCTGCTGAGTGGTGGGGGAACATGACATTAGTGAAGAGTCTGTTGGATTTGGCCATCAATTATTGGTAATTTTGATGAGCAGATTTAATAGAGGTGTAGGAACAGAATCCAGATTAGAGCAAATGACAATGTAAATAGCAGTCAAGAAGGTGAGGATAGTAAGTGAAGACAGTGTGTTCATAGTTTTACTCTGAACGGGAGCAGGGAAATGGCATGATAATGGGGTCAAAAGAGTGTTGGTATGCTGATGGGAATAATCCAATCAAAGGGAGAAATTGATGATGCAGGCAGGAGCTAGTGGTATAATTATGGAAGTTGAAGCTTTTGAAAAGGCAAGTGGAATATGGAACTTAAGTTTCCCTAGGAGCAGGGACACTGTCCATTACAATGGAAGGGAAAGCAGAGACTATAGATTTAGGTGCAGGCTGGTGTGTAGAGCTGATGTTAGGAAGATGAGGGAGTTCTTGAATGTCTATTTTTCTCAGTGAAAAATAAAGTGAAAATACCAGCTGAAGGTGGTTGTGTGTGTGCATGAGTGCAGACACACGTGCACCCTTGTGGCCTGGAAGAACAGTGAACAGAGATATGAGACAGAACGGGATTCATCCTGACAATATCTTAGAGGAGGTGGAAGATAAGTTCAAGCTATGGCCCTAAATACTTAGCTCCCTCTTAGGGGTAAGGGGCAGGGCAGTGTCATCCTCAAGCAGCTAGCATGGGTGATACTCTGCCAGGAGAGGCAATTTCTCCCCTATCTTTTAGGATTGTGGTAATGATTTGAATGAAATACTCCTTCTAAAGGATTAACACCGTGCCAGGCACATGGCTAACTGTTCAATAAATATGAGTAATTAACTATTATTAATTAGTTTGGGAAGAATGAAGTTTAAAGAAGACATGTGTTTTTCTTGGGACCCTAAAAGTTGTCTAGGATAAATAAAATACGGAATGAGCAAAGCCCTTGAGAGCATGCCCTTCTCATGAGAGCTGAAGCCTGCTAGGATCTTGGACCAGGAGACTGATGTGCTCATCTTGCCTGGAGCAGAGCAGTCCAATAACTCCTTCCTCCCCCACCTTGATATATCTCCTGAGCTATCCTTAATGCCCCCCCCCACCCCCCAAGCTGGACAGATTTGTCAAGCACAGCCCACATTCCATACTTTTTCCATATTACTCTTGTTGCTATCTCTGTTCACTGAACTGTAATAACTGCTGGTGGTAAAACCTACCCCCACTGCCCACCCCATGAATGCCTTCTCTTCAGTCAAGATGAATGGTTGTGGCATGGATTAGCTCCAGGGGTCTTTGTGAGGATATCATTCTGTAGTCTTTGCCAGGTTCCCGAAATTACATCCATGTTGGTTCCTTTCTTCCCTCTTCTTAGAGACTAGCTACGGAAGGTGGCTGACCTCGATTCTAGTCTTTGGTATCTTAAATCCATTCCTTTGTCAGGTTGACACATACCTTCTCCATCTACTCTGTGCTTAGGGGTTGGTCTTAAAGGTGTGAATTTATCTAGCTTGTTTTTGTGAAAACAGGCTGGCTTGTCAAATCAGGTGAGGCACATGCTTGGGGGGCTCAGGTCTCTGTTGGTTTCTTTCCTAAAAACAATATAAAGTCTATGTTATTCTTTCTGTATTCAGTTTCCTTCAGAAGGTCCTGCCCTGGCATGTGCTGAGAGCAGCATTGCCAAAACATTCCAGACTTGTTTTTGCCTGAGAAGCTGGCTGAGAGCTCTCTGTCCATGGTGGGCCTCTGTCCTCTCCCATGTCATTTCCTCCTCTTTCATGAAATGACCCCATCTTCAGCTGTGTCTTTCCTCTTCTAGCTTCAAGGTAAGATCACCCTGTTGTACTTCTGGCTGACTGAAGGTAAAGGTAGGGTGGTGCACTCTGACTTAGAGCTGGCCTGGCTTAGCTTGCCTTGGAGTACCAGCCACCCATGGGGAGTTTCTTTCTTGGGAAAAATGGTGTCTTCCTCCTGACTCTCAACTTCTCTTTGGACAGGCTGGACATCAACACTAATACCTATACATCCCAGGACCTCAAGAATGCACTGGCAAAATTCAAGGAAGGGGCACAGATGGAGAGTTCAAAGGAAGACAAGGTATGTGACATTCTCCAGGGAATTAGTATAAGTCTGCAGGATGGCCTTGAAGGGAATCACTTTTTCCCTTTTGCAGTTATACATGGGATAATAATAACAATAATATTGTAAAATAATTTAAAGAGCAGTTAATGCCAAATGTATAACCCTTTATAGACTATTGAAAAAATGCTGGGAGCATTTCTGTCATCAGTTAGGTTAGGATCCAACTTCCCATTACATGTTTAGGGAAATTGAGGCACAAAGCAGAAATAGCCATACTCTCCATTATCACAGACATGAGGGGAAAAAATAGAGATTGCCCTGCCAGGATGGCTCAGCGGTTGAGCATCGACCTATGATCCAGGAGATGACTTTTTCTCAGTCAGGGCACATGCCCAGGTTGCGGCTTGACCCCTAGTAGGGGATGTGCAGGAGGCAGTCGATCAATGACTCTCATCATTGATGTTTCTATCTCTCTCTCCCTCTCCCTTCCTCTCTCTGAAATCAATAAAGACACGTTTTGTTTTTTTTAAAAAAAGAATAGAGATTAAAACTCAGATCTTACTTACAACTGGATTACTACAAGTTTAAAGGACAGAGGTGCTGGGCCAGGAAGGAAGAAGCCTGGGTCCTTGCCCTTATCCTTTGAACATGTGGCTAATGTATTTCCTTTTCCAGGCCTCAAGGCTTCTTAACTACTATACAGCACAGGGCCGGGATAAGAAGATGGCTGAGGTTTCCATCAGCTCTTAAACTCTACAAGCTAAGGGAATGAAAAGGAACAAGAGGCAGAATTGCAGTTCCTTGGCTAGGCCCCTAATATCTGGGAGGTACAGACCTATACCAGAAAGAAATTTTACTCTTATATGGATCTCATGGGCTCATGTAACAGAGAATTCTGCAAATCATTTTTTACATTTCTAGTTGAGTCCTGTCCTTGAAAGAACTTCCTTAGATGACTGCCTTGGAGACCTTTTTAAGTTCTCCCTCCCTCCCTCTTCTCCTTTGCTTTGTCTACCTGCCAGCCCTCGCCCCAGAATCCTGGCAGTATTTTGGAGGGCCAGCATAAGGTTATTTACGGCTTGTATGTTACTGGAGGACGCCTTAGGTCCCTCATATCTTTTAGAGCTAAGTATTTCTGAGACAAATGAGCTGGGTTTTTTTTGTTTTGTTTTGTTTTGTTTTGATGTGGAGGAGGACCTAATTAGGATGTGCTAGTATGCAGGCCAAGTCTCCATATCTTTAATCATTTTACCAACGTCACATCTCCCAGCATGGAGAGTGTATATGGTGTGAGAAAGTGATTAGCAGAATGGCAGTAGCAGCAGCAATGGGTGAAGGAAGATGATGCATAAAATTCCATCCTGCCACAGGTGTATTAACTAACGGGTGAGAAAAAGCAGATCCCCTAGCTGGTGAAGGTAAGGCCAGCAGAGGAGAGCAGTGCATGCCTAGGTGCACGGAACAGAGAGATTAGTGATCTGTGGCCAGGGGTTGGGCTCACTCTGACTTATTATCCCCTCACCATGGGCTCCAGGTGGGGCTGACGGGAACATAAAAGGCAGCCTTTGTTAATGTCTTTTCTATTGATGGAAGACTCACTGCACCTCTGTCTCTTCTCTTTGTTCTCTTTAATGACATTCTTCTTCCATAATTCAGTTAATGTAAAAATATGAATATTATGAAAATATTTTTTAAATGTGAAAGCAAGAGATTAAGTTTTCAGGTGGTTTTTTTTTTTTTGCAATTAAAAATAATCCTCTCCCTTTGCAAGGGGAGATCCCAATACCAGTACCCAAATTGGCTGATTTGAGTCAACTGCCACTTCCGAGATAGGGCTGCCACATTCTTTATTTAATTCTGTGGAGCTCAGGTTGTTAGCTCCTTCATTGAAGTGCTGAGTCCTGGGATGTTTTTCCTGCTTTCAATTGGAGCCTGTTTGGACTGATTCTGCTCACTGCCAATGCACTGGGATTGGCAAATAAATTGACTTCAAGTAGATTAGAGAGTTTCTTACATGTCCTAAGCTACTGACTGGAAATGCCATCATACTTTTTGTTTATCAATATTTACTTGCCTTGGGTTAGTGAACACAGTATACAATATGCAGATGATGTATTATAGAATTGTATCCCTGAAGCCTATGTAATTTTATTACAGTACCCCAATAAATTCAATATCACCCCAATAAATTCAATAAATATTTAAACCCAAGTTGTGTGGTGGCTTGCAAATACAGGATTGTGCTTTTGCTATATATAAAAGCAGTACTGTCAGATATTGTACCGTATCCTGTCAATGAAGGGAGTGTTGTGTGTTTTTTTAAATATATCTTTATTGATTTCAGAGAGAGGATGAGAGAGAGATAGAAACATCAGTGATGAGAGAGTCTTCATTGATCAGTTTGCCTCCTGCATGCTCTCGGCTGGGAATCGAGCCCGCAACCCAGGCATATGCCCTAACCAGGAATCGAACAGCAATCTCCTGGTTTCTAGGTCTATGCTCAACCACTGAGCTATGCCCAGCTGGGCGAAGGAATGCTTCTTGAGCTTTACTTTTTGGGGGAAGGGCATCAATTCCATTGTATCTATTGGTACCTTAGTAGATTTAAGTGAATCAGTCCTTCCCAGAGTCACTTGCTTCATGGAAAAACTGTTTCTCCCAACAGATTTGGGCCATTATTGATGAAACTGATCTCTTTGTCCCTCTATTACCATACAAATTTCTTGACGCTTTATGTTTTATCATGTCAGTTGTTGTTCACGTGTGTCCTATAAATCGCTGCATTTTAAAATATGGCCTTAAACTTTTGGTTCGGGGCAAGATGAAGTAGACCGATTTCTCTTTATTCTTCCTGCTAAAGAACAACTAAATACCATGGACGTAATACTAAAAGTAAATAGAAGACATTAAAAGGTGGGAAGAAAAAGGCAGATTGGCGAGGAACCTAGGAACTTGATGAATTACATGGCAGTGAGTTCCTTGGGCTTTCTGTTTGCCCTGTATATATCCCAGAGTGGGCACTGGAGAAGCCCACATCTTGGAAATGCCAACAGGTATAGAGAGAAAACTGCGCTAATAAAAGCCTGCTCTTTTGAGAGAAAGGCAGCCTAATAGGACAAAAACTTTTGGCCAGTGCCTGTCCTCCTTTAGCCAAAGAACATGGAAATCTTCCTATGTTCACCCTAGTGCCAGTGGAAGTTGAATGGGGAACTTAGATTTCCACCTCCCACTTGGTGGTAACAAACTTGGGTGTCAGCAAAAGCTGAGTGGGGAGCCTGAACTTCCACTTCCTCCTGGTGGCAGTGAGATGGTGTGAGGCTGTAATTTGTTACCCCAACCAAGGTGATGTGAGTGAGAGATGATCAGAGTTGAGGTGAAATTTCTCCCTTTGCCCAGTGCTGGGAGACTATTTGCTTCCTCCACTGGTGTTTCTCACCCTTCACATGGGTAGCATGGTCTACTGTTAGGGTGGGATCAGCAGAGGCCAAGAAGAGAACGTGAATGTCTGTCCCCTGCCTGGCAGTGCCAAGGAGGTTTTTCACTTCTCTAGCTGAGGTGATGCCAGTGGGGTGGGGTGAACGGAGAACCCGTGCTTTCGCCCTGACCTGGTGGCAGTGAGGCAGCGGGGTGCAGCATTCTTCTCCCCACTCCAAGGCAGCGTCACTGGGAGTAGGGGAGGAGGGCGAATTCCCCCTTGAGGCCAGCAGCAGTGAGGCTGCTGCCAGAGGCTAAGGAAGGAATTTTGCTCTATGTCCAGTGCCCAGTGCTGGCCGATGATGATCTTTTTCTCCTAAATAGAGAGTGGTGGTAGGATTTTGGAGAGGAGGGACCTACAGAAAGGGATTTTGCAAATGAAGTTCTGGGCATACTTCCTACTGACTCACATGAGAAACTGACCAGAGTTAACACAGCAGAAGATTTAAGAAACTGAACTGTGGTTTAGAATATTGCCTAGGTGTTTAGATTAGCTTCTGGTTAGCACACAAAAGCATACCAAAATAACACTGCAAAGGCTCAGAAAACTTAATTGTTTTGAAGTCACAGTTATACAAGAACGTCAGAAACAGTGTATTAAACCTAAACAATGTGACTGCCCACTGAAAAGGAAGATTCAGTAGGATTCAGAGTCATAAGACCAAAATGCCCAGGATACAGTAAAAAAATCACTCATCATACCAATAACCAGGAAAATCAAGACTTACATTAGGAAAGACAATTAACAGATGCCAACAGTGAGATGATTCAGAAGCTGGAATTATCTAACAAGGATTTTAAAGCAGCTATCACAGAAAAGCAATTAGGAACGTTCTTGAAGCAAATGACAACCTCAGCAAATAAATAGAAGATATAAAAAAGAACCAAAATGCCCTAGCTGGTTTGGTTCAGTAGTTACAGCATTGGCCTGTGAACTGAAGGGTCCCGGGTTCAATTCCGGCCAAGGGCATGCACTTTGGTTACAGGCTCAATCCCTGGCTCCAGTCGGGACCCATGCAGGGAGACAACCAAGTGATGTGTCTCTCTCACATCAATGTTTCTCCCCCACCCCCACCCCAAATAAATGAAAACATATCCTCAGGTGAAAATTAAAAAACAACAACAAACCTCTAAGACGGGACTATATCTCTAGCATCCACTCCCCCACTCAGACATGCCACAAATACCCAACCTTAAATGACAACATGACACTGCTTCCCAAGGCTATATACATATAGAAACTATTGGAGCAAGGATCTAAACTCTGGTCCATCACACTAAGTCACAACTCTAGAAGAAAATGACACATCAAGTTGAGGAGTTTGGACTATGTTAAAAACAAAGGCTTTGGAACTCAAACGTCAATTCACATCTTAAGTTCATCACTTACTGTGTGACCTGAAGCAAGGTTCTTAACTTCTCTGTGCCTCCACTACCTCCTTTATAAAGCTATTGTGAAAATTAAATGAATCAACACATGTAAAACACTTAAAATAGTGCCTTGCACAAAGTAAAACCATATTAAGCAAAAAGGAGTCAATGGAGATTTCTGAGTGATTTGATCAGAATTATGGTTTAGGAAAATCAATTAGTAGAACGATGTAGAGGGGAACCAAGAAGCGAGAAAGTTATGGCATATTTTTATGAAAAGCATTAAAGGCCTAAATGAGATAATAGTGAAAAATGGAAAAGACCTAAGTTATTGCAGAATTTGAACTAACAGGATTTAACAAACGACCAAAGGTGACAATCAGAGAGTGGAGTAAAAGATGATTCTCTGATTTTTCAACTTGGTAAACTAAGAATATGGTGGTGCCAAGAACAGGAACAGAGGACCATGTGAGAATGGATTAGTGCTCCTTTAAATAAAGAAGGTTCT